GTGTGGGTTGCGAGGACAAGGCGGCGAATCTAGATTTGGTGGATCAGACTTTTTTGTATAATAAAACATTTGTATTGTTTTCTTTGGCGGGCTTTGTATTTTGACCATATTTTTTTATAATGTTTATATTTTTGAGTGAATTTAATCGAAAATCTGATTCTGTTTTTAATGTATTTTATTTATTTTATACTTTTGGCTATATGCTGTTGATTTTTTGAAGAAATTTTAATATATTTTAATTTTTTTTCTTTTTTTACTTAGGTTTGTTTTAAATCGTTTTTTAAGGAGCGGTACTTTTTTACTATCCTTGAATGGAGAACAGTGAGTGATTATGTGTTTTTTATCTTTATCGCTTTCGGTTTTGTTCCTTCGAAATCTTTTGTTTTGTTTTTAGTTTTACTCTTGTGCTTGTGTAAGGCGGGTCAAGGACCTGCTCCTCATTTGGTTTCGCTGTAATTTTGTCGTGTTAAATATTTGGTTGGCCTTTTTTTTGCTTTTTGGGTATCCTTTGTTTTTTCTTTTTTGTGTCTCTTTTGTTGGTCTTTTTTTGTGGGCAATTTTTTCTGTCCTTTTTCATTCCCCTTTTTTAATGTTTTTGCTGTTTGTTTGTTTTGCAGATGATATAAACACGGATCCCGCTGGCGATCCTCCCAGATCCCCTTTTAAGTTGAAACCGTCCGCTCGACTTGGTCGCAAAGATAGTGATGTTAAAACGAGCAAGAAAATTGGTCACCGTCGTGTAACTGATCAGGGAACCGTCACATATAAGAAGGTATTAACTTTCGTTGGTTCACTTTGATACTTGTGTCTAAATTTTGATTATTCTCTAATTTTTTTATTTAGATTGGGTGGTGTTATGTTCGCCTATAGCTGATTCTGGGTGTGTGCTTACGCATAGCATCTTTTTCACCTTACTCTCTGGATTACTTTTTTGCTCTTATATTTTTTGGATATTTTTGGTTTATGCTTTTCCATCTAGGATTTCTGTTTGCTCTGATTGACTGACTTTTATTAACATGCTGTGCCTATTACGCGTTTTCTTTTGCATTCCCGTAGATTTAAATGGAGCATTTTTTATGCGAGTTGAAACGCGTTTTTGTTTCGATATTTTTTTTACCGAAGATAAGTTTCTTCTTGTAATATTATTTGACGTTTTGAACCTTTGAAATGTACTAATGTATTTGCTTTTTTATGTGGTGTTGCAGAATTTCGATCCCTATACAAGAATTTGAAGGTGCATGTTGGTTTGCTTGCGCTTTTTTGTTGAGAGTTGGTACATTCTGCGGGCTAAATTGTGGATTATTAAAGCTAGATTGTTTGATTGAGCTAAATTTTTAAGCACTGCGTCCTACTGGAGATGAATGATGTGAAGTTGTTTTAGGTAGGAATTTTGACATGTTTTCCCTTTTTAAGTAATTCCTCTTTTAGCGAATAGAGACATGACGCGTGCTTAGTGACACGAAAGGTAAACATTTAGTGATTTGTCCCTCTAAATAGACTCCTACTTCGGAGATTCAACGGGCCATTCAATTAGGCATCCAGCACAGCATTGGCACTCTCCAGCAAAAGCAAGTTCGTGATGTTCTCTTTCGAGATTTCGAAGTGGTTGAGACTGTGGACTTTCCTCGATCCGGCACCAAAATGACGCCTGCTCATGGGCTCTCCGATTTTCGTTTTCGAACATTCGCGCCCGTCGCCTTTCGTTCATTTCGCGACCAATTCCAATTGGACATTCGGGACTATTTGGTAAACTGCATATACATAGTATTTATGAGCTTCTTGTGTGATTTACGGTAATCTGGTTCCTAGATAAATCTGCCGTAGCTTTGTAAGGCAGTAATATTCTGTTATGCACACATTGAATAAACTTATTCACTAATTGATAGCACACAATTGGAGGCGCGATAAGAATTAGGTGTTTTCAATCATTTTGGTCGGCGCTCTAACTGTAGGCTATAATTTAAGCTTCAGGTGAATAAATAAGCAGTTGATGTTTCAAAAGTTATTCTGGTTTTGCGTGTAGAACACAACCTTATCTACGTAAGATGTTTGATATTTGTAATTTAGGCTTTACACCAAGACAGTTACTATTAGTAACGCAACAAGTTCTTTAACCTCGTGACCATGGAGTGTGCACCGGTCCCGCTGCTGCCTGTCCCCCAATTAACTTTCTGCAGCATTTCACTGCCTTTTGTTAATGCAATCGAAATTCTGAGTCGATGTTCAGCTCCCTTCGTATCCGTGTTATTGTCGTCAGGAGTTGTGGCTAAACACACACAAGAGGTTTTTGCCTTTATCTGATAGTGTACTTTAAATGTGAGTTTTAGTTTTTCCAAGTACACAACTGAGCCATTATCAAATACAACCGTATCAACTACTGAGAACTTACTCTGACCGAAGCTGCTAATCGCTCCCCTAGTTTTTATCGCCGTGTAAATTGGATGTAATTTTGTATTTTTCAGCAGTGGTTGCATGTCGTTTGTTTGTTTACTCTCCGTTTTAATAAAAATAACGCGACATGCGACCCAACGCTTTCCACTCAGCGTAGTTCCAACAACAAACTGTAGATAAATGCATTCTCCCACTAAATGTGTCTTGATCGATAGGCTTTCCGTCTATTTATTTATTCTTCCCGTTTAAGTTCAGTTCAGTTCTTTTTACTGGTTTCCATCGCACTTGCTGTTAATTTACAATCCAAATTTTGAACACTGTGAAGTGCTATCGCGTCCTCTTGAAGACTTCAGTGTCTTTTATCCAAGTGAGGTTTTATGGTTCTATCGTAGTTGCTCACAATTCTCTTCTGTTCCGTCACCAGAACCATGCAATGATCGTTGCGATTGATTTCATTGTTTGCGTAATGAAGCTGGTATGCTCAATGAGTTTGTTCAAATTTTGAATTTAAGTACGGGTTTTCTTGCTTACATGAGTTCCCCTTAGAAATTTGTTCAGTATATTGGTGGAAATTGACCGTCAGATTTTGATTATTATCTGTTGTAAAGATTTTTTCTCTATCTGTGGTCTGACAAATTTGATAGCTTGATTTGACGGTAGTTGGTATATTGTAGATTTCTTGGATCCAGTTCAATACAACTTTTATTTGTGATGCGAATTCTTGACTCCATATTTGTAACTGAAACCAATGTTTCCAACGTAATCGAATTTTGAATAGTACCTTTTCGTTATCTTTGGCAACCAACTTTAGCTACTCTGTGATATTTTCTAGCTGTAAATCTCTTCCAATAATAAATCTTCATTTTTCGATGGAGTCATTTTCCTAAACCTATGATCTTTTTTCCTCGATGAATCTACTGAATTTCGAGCTCCACTGCGTACTTATCCAGATGTGTGATGCACTGATATTTTGAACATGCAATGACCATCCACAATTCTTGCTTTAGCATTCCCTGTGCTCTCAGGAGCTTCGTGAACTTTCCAATCCCGGTGCCAGCGGATCTATTTTTTACATCTCTGCAGACGATGAGTTCATCATCAAGACTGTTCAACACAAAGAGGCTAATTTCCTTCAGAAACTTCTTCCTGAGTACTACATGAATCTGGTGCAACATACACGAACCTTGCTACCCAAATTTTACGGTCTTCATTGTTATCAGGTAAATCTACCTCTTCCACTGAGGCATCAGTTTTTGAATCCTAGCTCATGAGACGATTGTGAAACCCTTCAAGCTATTCCCACATTCATTTTCTAGGGCTTTCTCTCAATTCTCTCGTCTTACATTTCAAACCAGTAGCCCTTTTATCCATACGAAACAGCGTACTGTGTTCTCATGATTCTTGTTTTTAACTGTTTGACCCAAATTTACGTCTCTTTTAGTCATAATTGACATTGCCGAACCAAAGTGTTGTTGATTGGCTATCTCGCTTTCGGTGTTTCGTAACTAAGGCAACAGAAAATTCAAAATAATGGCGTGAAGCTAATTGGAGAAGTCTTATTCCACGATTGTTCCATATCATGAATTAATAAACACTTCGCTGAGCTTAGCTATCCTATTTTTCTCATCATCTGATGAGCTGTTTCGGGATACCACACGCGGATCCAGCAGTATGGCCTTTTTCATAGGAAGATTGGGTATTTGGCGGGCCTATGTGATAGTGATGAACTAAGGGGAAGACGTAAGAACTAGTTATTGAGTTGATCTCTGATTGCTTCAGTGCCAAGTAGTCTTGTTAAGAAGGAAAATTGTGCTTATTCCGCTATCAGTCGCAGCTGTCAATGTTAAACGTAAGTGAATTTTCTTATTGTTATTTTCGAAATGTGTTCAGTGAGGCGCCACACCAGAACACACTTTAGGTTATATGAGCGTGAGCCGACTTTATTTTTAGTGAGTTGGGACATGTTTTGCGTCTTAATACCTGCTAGCGTTTTGACTATGACAGTTCCCTCCAGTATATGACCCATCAGGTGGTCCTTCAGACGATTGTTGGCGCTGGTTGCACTTCACACTATCAGCAACACCTCCGTCTATAGACAACTAGTCCTATCTCGTCTTCATTCAACTTACTAATGCCAATTTATCTTAATCCCTATTTGCCATAATAATTCCAGATTCTCATATCTCCGAGCTCATTTCTTCCAAAACGCCATTTTGATTGCTCTTGTTCAGTTCTTACGGTTAGTTTCACCAACTTTTGAGCCGACTCACTCTGCGTCTAGTTTTGCATATTTGTTTACAGCACTTACCTTTCTTTACACTAAAGTGTAGTGAAAATCTATCGTGCTGACTTTTGATGTGAATGTGTGTAATGCTTTGATTTTGCTAAACTGGTCTACAATAGTGTTGACTCTGTTTTACGGTACCTTGAATCGTTTTACCGTTAATGCAGGAGACAAATGTCTTCGCCGACTCTACATGATGCCGAAAGCGCTTCTATGTTCGTTCGCTAGAAATGCACGTGCTGGGAGCTCCTAAAACCCTAGTCATAAAATGTGAATTAGTTTTTGTTTTCCTTCTGACCAAACTAAGCCGCTTAAAGTTTCAGTATTCTGTTCACTGGCTCAGGTGCATAGACTGTTGATTTACTCGCGATCATCAAAAGTGCTATTATTTCCCATGCTGGGAAATCCTTTCCTCCTCTTGAAAACCGAATTTAGGTACATGTAATCTATTTGGTATTGCGATTTTTTTGAAACCCCGGCAGTTCACAAAACGACTTCTAGTGCTCCACAAGAGCAATCCCATATGCAACAATTGTTGCTCTTAGGGTGAAAGACGTGTCGAAACCTCGTAGCTTTCACTTGGGTTGCAATGCCTTAAAAAGTATGAATTTGACAGTTGGCACATCCAGTAAATCATCTGACTTAACTGTAACCTTGTGTGAGGTGGTTTTTATTGGGGGCAATTGTGCGCAGGTTGCAATTCAGACGCGTCAACATTTATGTTTCAGGCTGGCATTTTTTGATAGTAATTTGCAAAGCAGTTTAGGCACTCACACGTTTTGAAAGAAAAAAATTGTCAAACTACTCGTTAGCGGATGATTTTATTTGGAGCTGTGGTGTAAATGCCTCATTCAATTCGGACAACGTGGCTATGTGCATTCCAAAATGCAGTGTGGTGTCAAATTGTTGCTAATTGTCAAATGGAATGTATATTTAAGAGTTCGGGGAAGAACATCCGTTTTGTTGTGATGAACAATCTGCTACCCTCGTCGGTGAAGATGCATGAACGCTACGATCTTAAAGGTTCCTCATATAAGCGAAAGGCCAATGAACGCGAATTAGCCAAGGCATCTCCCACCCTCAAAGACCTTGACTTCAAGTAAGCTCTTCGCTTTTTTCCCTGCCTTGATGACTCCATATAGTTTGCTTCTTGGATTCAGCTGTCTGTCAAACAAAGAATAAATTGCTTAGAACATTGTCACTGCTATCTATCTGTCGTACTTGTTAAGGCTACCCCTTTTGAATTCGACTTGCAAGGGCACTGACTCCTTCGAGGAAGTGGTAATTTCATTGTTCAAATAACACCATATCCTCCTTCCCACAATGCTCTTATTAGCTTAGTTGTGCTTGGATAAGTAGACCAATCATGGCCATCGCTCCTCAAACTATCATTATTGGAAGCTGATGGGTCTCGTGCTGAATCTGGACATTTGTTCCTTTCAGTTTTAAATTGTCCCATGTAAAGTGCCAAGACTAGTTGCTCTGTGATAAGTCCATGATGTATTTTCCGATTAATTTTGCTCATTCATGAACGCCACAGCCGAAAAATATTCCGAAAATTTTCATTGATATATCTGGAGCGTTTTACTAATGTCATTGGAAAGATCTGGACAACTGTGTCATGGAGTAACAGGCTGCATTAGGCATATCAGTGGTAACTCTTTCGAACCAATGGACGTGTAATTTCGTGATAGGTGCATTTTGTAGCCTCCTCTTTTTTGTTTCATTTCATAGCATTCGGTAAGGGCCTCACCACTGAGTTCATTGAATCAGTTAGATGCATTAGGCGCTTGTCAGAGGAGGTGTTCTTATCAATATGCGGATGGTCCCAAATCGCTGTGTTGCTTTTTCTCAGCGACTGCAATTAAACAAAACTTATGACTGAAACCTGTTTTTTTATTGCTTAAAGTCAGATTTGCCACCTTTTTTAATCACAGCCTGTCTTGGTTTTGATAAATTATCCTACTCTAGAAACAAGAAATCGCCGTACATAGAAATTATTTCCGCATCCAACTTCAAGTACGGGTATCCCGTTGGTTAATTTTTCAATTGGGTGAGGTGGTGAATGTTTTTGTGACAAGTGGCTCACACTCGATCATTTCGGCTCGAATAATTCATGCAATGCAGCCTTGAGCTAACCAACTACGAAAATGGGGCTATGGAAGGGTATTATTACTACTGTCGTTTGATTGAATCGACTTATGGTCATTGACGTCTTCGATAGGTGTATTCAAATCTGTTTGCTTACCGGAGCTTGTTATAGGGCGCTCAACATTATCGCAAAAGATCATATTTGCATTGGTGAATTTGTTTATTTGCACATACAATGCCTTTGGGGCAACTGCGATTGAATTTGAGGTACACGGTGGTTAATTATTCATGAGTCTCCTTAAATTAGCATTTTTATTGAAAGTGGCTTTCCTGGGTTTGTTTTACAGACTAATAGATGCATCTGTGTTTCGCTGCTGCATCGAACTGTCTACAGACAATATTTTACCGATCGGGCATAAATTGATATAGCATGAAAATCCGATAATCCAATTAGGAATAAATGTGTTTCAGTTAAAGCAAAAGTTAAATAAGTTTGATGGAAAGAGTGTTCTAATCTCCAAGCAGCTGCTAATGCACACGGTGAATCGCATATTTTTGTCTTGCAGGGAGAGACATCCAAACGGCATTTGGCTGGAAGCTGATACTTACGATGCCTTGATGAAGACCATTGAACGCGACTGCAGGGTATGTTAACCACTTGATGTTTATAACTTTCAGTGCTATTGCTGATTAGGTAAGTGTTTTGTGTACTTATATCTTTCATATTATTTCACTATCAATGAACCCGTCTTCCTGTAATTTTATTGCTTATGAATACTAGTAGCCGTCCAACTCTTGTCGCTGATCTCTTGATAGGTTTTTTGGCAGTTACTGATGCTTCCTGCCTGGCACAGTTACCATGACTTATTTTAAGGTGCTTGAATCCTTTCAAATCATGGACTACTCTCTCCTCCTTGGAGTTCATAACTTTGACCGAGCGGAGCGGGATAGGGTGAGTTTGTGGCTGATTTTATGTCGAAATTACCTTTTCACGTACACCTATGCATGCTCTTAGTGACAGCTTTCTTTTATTAAAATTGTGTTCATCATTTCCTTTTTATTGTTGTTAATCGAGCTCCTGGTGCTTACTCCTTTTGTGAAGTTTTATGGTTTCAGTCTCGCTCTCGTATAATTACTTTCTCATTTCATTTTATTTTTAGCAAAATAGGAAGAACGAGCGATCGTCGGATAATGGTAGGAAAATCGTCTGTTTTCTTTTTGATAGTTAATTCTCTGTAATTTGTAGCATCCAGTTAACACCCGCTGCATTACATTGTCTTCGTACTTTCAAACTTCTTCGGTTTCTGTGGAAACTGCTTGTCGAATTAATTAAGCACCTTTGTTTTGGAATTAATTATTGCAAACTCTTCAGTTGCATCGCATTTTATACTTTTTTGCACTTGGTAATGTATTTTGTTTAAATTCTGGGTTTGCGGCATTTTAGCTAAATATTAGTAAAGATAGCTGCGACATTACTTACCTCGTATTCTATGCCGATAATGAAAGCCCAGAGGCAGGTGAGAGGAGGCATTAATGAAAGCGTTAGCTCCTTTGTCAAAACACACCGGTCAAGTATTGGTTATTTAGACGCGACTAATTTAATTCGTTCATACCAGTTCGAGTCGAGACATTCCTATTTTTTACCATTGTGAGCTTATTTAAAGTTATAAGGGTTTTGGAAAATTTTGCTTATCCCTATTAACATTTTCGGGTACTAGCTCTTTCAATGATTTAAAAATAAGCGTTTGTGGTTAGGGGAGTATTGGCAAAAATTCTACTTCATGATTACAATTGACCGGATGGGGGAACTATGCATGACACGATTTGGGTAAGTTGATTTTGCTGCTTTGAACCTGCTACATTATGTGTAGGTATGGTCGCCAATGTGATATCGGGAGTTGGAGGTACAGAGCAGAATCGAGGCGCGCTTATGTCATCCGGGACCTCGAAAAGGCGGAGCGACGGTGATGCCGTGGATCGGGGGCGTCGCTCTACCTCCCCTTTCGCCTCCAATGCATTCCGCTCTCGTTCGGGTAATAAACGCCTCACCGCTTACTCCACCGCCATGGAGTCCATCGAGGCCAAGACCGAACCTGTAGAAATCGAGCCCACCGACTCTGAGAGGGCCACGCTGTACGCCTCCCTTACGCACTCTCCCACTTCCCTTCTTTCTAGCTCATATGTTTTGCTGCAGCTTAGGCTGTTGGCAGGCTTTGTAAATGATTAATGACAATTAAGTGATGGAGCTGCACCTGGGGCGGCATGTAGGAAAAGCAGCAAGTGACTTATTCGGGAATTGATGAGTAATGCATTGAATTGAAATAATGGAGTGCTGAACGTCATTACATTGCCTCAACTTGTAGAAATGGTTCTGTTTCTTTTCGCTTATGAAAATTATTACTACTAGAAAGAAGTTGATAACTTTCACTACAAAAGCTTGGGATCCAGCCTCATCTTTATGCTCACCTGTAACAGGTGGAAAAATCCCCTTATGAGGACTTACTTCGGTTTCTTATCATATTTGTTTCTTCTATAGCTACGTTTCTATTTTCCTTAGCAACGTGATAGGATGGCGTTTTGAAATAAGCTTATTGTACAAGACTTCAATGTATCCATTTTCGATCAGATGAAAAGGTTTTCTTTCATCTGAGATACTACAACTTGTTGGGTCCAAGCTGTGCCAACTTGAGGCTTGATCCTTGCCTTTCTACTGTTAAATCAAATAACTCTCAAGGAAAGCTCACCAAATATTGCAGTCTGATACAGTTTTAGTTTGGTCAGGCGTATGCACTGATAATCATTACTTTGTTCCCATTCGGATTTCACAGTGGATTGATCACTTTTGCTACCTCCAGACTCGGTGGTCTACCCGCACGCAGTTATTCCGGTGACCGGCTGTTCCTCTTCATTGGCATAATTGACATCCTTCAGAGCTACCGAATGGTAAAGAAAATGGAGCATACCATCAAATCTGTTGTTATCGATTCGGTGCGTCTGTATTCTTTTACTGTGCCGTATGTGTTCCTGCCCTCTAATCACATTTGCGGCTGACACTTCGCCTTTACTTGCATATGCTTCCACGTCCCATCGTTTCGAAACTTCTCATCAATAGCTCGTGATTTCTATCCAACGACTATCACCACAGGTTGCTCGCTGCATCTTTATTCTTTCATCTAAAGCTAAACTGTTGCCACTTTGTATGCTTTTTCATCATCATCATGATTTCGGCATTTTTCACTGCTTTAGTACCATTTATCCTGCTTGCATTTATTGCACGCTCTCTTGTTTTTAGGAGACTGTATCTGTGACGAATCCCAGTTTCTACGCCAAACGTTTCCAAAATACTTTGGGCAATTGTATATTCCGAAGAACTCCTTACCGTAAGTTGCTTGGTGCTTCTATTGTTTTGGGCCAAATGCAGTCATAGTTATAGCTCAATAAAATTAGAGACGGAATGACAGTTAACTATTTAGTGACATTTATCAACTTATAGTTTTTTTTTGAAGTGTAGGAAGGTTTTATTAATTGCATCACAAGTCTACCAGATTCATTTTGATCCAATCTTTTGAGTAACTTGGTTTAAATTAGACCATTACAATCTTTGCATTTTTTTGAAGTCTAAGATAATTTTTATCGATCACACAATGCCTCAGGACTAATTGGTTTTGTTACACTCCCTTTCTTCCTCCCTTTTCCAAAACTCAACTGTTGACGAATGCATCGGTTGCTGTTGTTACATGCGTTGTTACATTTGTTATGCCATTATTGTGCGGTGTGGTAACACTTTTGCGCATCGTTCATCCCTTGGTTTGTGAAATCTTACATTTAACTTGCATGCCGTTTTTTCTCCTCTCACTCCTCTCTCTTTCACTTTCTTACTTTCCTTGTGCCTATAAAGTGGATCCACCGCAATTGTTTGGCCCCAAAGCTAGGCGGTTTCGACGTTTGGCTCATCTAGGTTCGTGTTTGCCGTCTGTTGTCTTCGAGAGATAATTTCTCAACCTCGTAGTTTTTAAACGAAACTCGAAATAGCATCTCGCACATTATATTGTCCTTGTGTATTTTAGAAATTGCATGCCTAAACCTTACACGTTAAAAACACAATTGCACTTCGTGTCCTGCAGTTTTTCCTCGAGTAGCTGAAGTTGTTCATTATTTGTATGCCTATAGTAGTTTCTGGCTGACAAGAATGAACTCTGTACTGGTTGTGCCTAAAGATGTCTTTCATAAACATTTATTTGTTTGACGATCGCTTGTGGGAGCGTAAATTTCACCGAGTAGCCTTTGTGCAGACTACTTGGTAGTCAGAAAACTTCGCTCGTGACTCTGATTTCACGGACTCATCGTGCTATATGGGGTTGTTTAACTCAGGCGTCAGCCACAAAAAATTGTGCTGAGACATCGGCATCGGGGCTGCCCACCAATGATGGCCAGTTGCTGCTCTCTTTGGGCTCCTCAGTGTAGCGCCTTAGCTGTAGGTGTTGAAAAATTGTATCAATTTGTTGTTTTTACTTTTTTGCTTCGCATTACGCTACTCGATACTGTTAACAAAATAACGATGTTTAGCAATTAGCATATGTACATTTCTAACTAGGCGGAAACGCTAAAAGTCGAGGTAATATGTCTTTTTACCTTATTCGACCTAATCCATAACCATATCTGTTTTAAAAACTGTCTTTACTAAGCAATACTTCTTTCTCCCCTAGCTCCTACTCCTGATCTTTGCTCTTTTTTATCTCTAACGCTTAGTTTATGGTCGTTACAACTCTCCTAATGGCTTAGTTTTTTAACTCACTTTATATCTGTTCTTTTCCAGTATTGTGAGATAGTTCTTTGCAGAAAATGCGATATCTCTTGCTTGAAACTAGTTTCTTACGTATTTCCTTTTCGTTGAAAAGGCTGTCGTATGGTTTGACCTGTCATTACTAGCTGTCATTATGCTGTGTAACGTAGTCCTTAACCGGTTTAAGTTTAGTCTAAACTATTTACTCTGTACACCTCCTTTCATTCCCCCCACAGCGACAGCAGCAGTTGGTAAGTTTAGACCCCGCACTTCTCCATCGCCAAATAACCGTAACGATATAATTGGCTTAGTAACGATTTGCACCCTCTTGCATTCTATCCTAAAAATCAGCGAGTTCTGTTTGACTGAATAATCGTTGTACCTCTCAACGAATTATGGACTGCGCTTCCATTAAACTCCCCTCCACCGCTCTTGCCTGCCCCTAGGGGCATTCTAGTTGCACCTAGTCGTGTGGATCGTAAATCAATTACATCACGAGCTAATGCTAAGTTCATCTTTGTGAACTCCCTGTCCTTTTGGAGGAAAATTGTTTGCTTTTGGTGTATAATGAAGCTTCAGTCATCGCTGCATGTCTATTGCTATGCTCTACCCCTCGGAGTAATTATATTTGACTCTTGTTGATTTGTAGCCATGAAACAGACCTCAGCTCGACGAAGACAGCTCCAATCCACGAAACCTCCCATCCCATCGTCGAATTTAAACGGTAGATTTCTCCTCTCTTGCCCTTTCGTTTGCAGTAATAGTGGAACTATTTGATGTACCCATGAAACCTATAATTGCTTTTCTTCAGTTTAAAAGCGATACTTGACACTCTCAAGACGGCTATCAGGAAATTGATGCCCAAGTTCTGGGAAGAATTTTGGGCAGATGGAACAATTTATATTGGAACTGAATTGCTACTTTTTTTAAAGCTGGCAAAAGTTGTTTTTGTAGTCGAACATTCAACTTTTTGAGCTGCAAATTTGATCACCCAATGACAGTTAAAGGATGAAGCTGATGACTGACCACTTGCGCTCTAGATTATAGTTGTTCATGATATTCAAACTTGTCCTTCTCAAAAGGGTTCCCCTAGTGTCTAGCTCTGAATTCAACTTAACCTATGCAAATCCTCTCCTTTTGTTGGTGCTGATCGTGGATGTGTCCCACCTCAGACATGGAAAGGAAGGGCCTTAAAAGCCCACCGATTCATGCTTATTTTCGGCTGTCGAAATGAGCCAAACATTGGTACTTTAGAACTCCAGTTATCGCTGATCTCTTGTATCATGGGAAGGCTAAAGATTGTCTATGCCCTCCAAATGCTTTAGGAAGCTAATTGTTTTTGTGTCTGGTAGCTTTTTGAAACCTTATTTTCTTGTGCTTCTAGATTTGGCTCCCTCGCAAACGTAAGCCCAACTCTAACAGTACATTGGCAAACCTGTTTATGTTATGCGTGCCTATCAGCTAGTGTTACTTGACCATTATTAAGTAAAGTTTTTTTCCTCTTGTTCAGATCCCCTAGTAATGAAACCGCTTCTTCAGTTACGAGTGGGTGCCTCCTTTTTTACGCCTTTTTTTATAAATACGTAAATCGCTTCTGCAAAGCCATAAGTTGTGCTGCATCCACTCTATGTGCCAACTGCATGCCGCTTTTATTGTTATGCGAGCGCACAGACTTTTGTGTCAGGTACTGAATGTTGTCCGTGGTCACCTTTTTATCAAGGCTTTGAACTTACCTTTCCTCTTAAGCATGCAACTACATTTGGTTCCCTTGGCTTTGAAATTCCTGTACACGGAATGGTCTTGGGACGGTTACATCGTTTGAAGTGACTTGAGTTTGGGATAACTATGGTTTTCCGATGCGGTATTTTGTTCCGTTTGACATTTTCCTACTTCTTATTTATAATCATACTTGAATTATGCCAAAATTGCATTCGATTACTTCTGGGTGATGATCGTCATTTAACTTATTTCAGCCTTCTGTTTTTCGAAATGTACCAAGTTGTAGTTCAAAATAGTTGTTTTTCCTCGTCTTAGGTGTTATTTTTAGTTCCTTTTCTTGTGGTCGTTTGGGTGTTTTTAGCGCTTCTTTAAGCTAAAACAGCCTCCTCAGTCTAGCTTACTTGAACACTGATTCGGTCAGTTACGCTCCAATTGTCACATTTTTAATCGAAATAGACTTGAAGCCATGAATTCTTTAGCAGCTTCCACTGCTCTCTTTGACGCATACATTGATGCAAATTCTACGAGCCATTTTCTCCTAACAATAACTTCCGTTTGTGATGCTGAAGTTGTAGGGTGACTAGATATAGAACCAATGAGTGCATGAATCTTTCATATTTATGTCAACAGAGTTTTTCAATGAGTCTAACACGAATTTTCCTTCCCTCCATCTTCGGTTCGCGTACCTTCTAGCTGCAACGATAACCACGCCGGTAGAAACTCAACTCCTTTCCCCTGTTGACCTCACCCCTTACATCCAAGTGCTTATTTTTACTGGTTTGCTGCTTTGTATTCAAGTAATCTCCGTTCTCATAGCCTCCTCTCCTAACTGACACTAATCCTCTCTTCACCGCACCCTCCTTACATTTGATCGTTCACCTTTTGTCTTTCGAACGTATCCCTCATGCATTCACCTCCTTCTTCCATTCCCTATATATATTCCACTTTATGCTATTTCCGTGATGCAAATAGAGGGACCAATTTTGTAAAGTATTTGCTTTTGAGGGATCACTTGGTCAGAAGGTCACTACTCTTTGAGGTAGATCAGAAGTTCTTTGTTCATTGTTTGCAAATACCCTCATTCCCCTATTGATAATCATATCTGTTTTCCGTTCGCATCGTTTTCTCCTGCGTTTGACGTTTTTTGCCATTCCTATCATCAGCAACCCAATCTTATTGTAAAGCAGTCAGTCATTCTAATAATACAATATTATTGTTGGACATCAAAGTTCAATTTCTAAAGTTCTAAACAGTAAATTACGACCAAATTCCCTAATACTGAAGCGTTTTTAACAGTGATGTTGTGAATTGATTCATGCATTATTAAAATGTTTGGTTGTGTTATTTTTCTTTTGTTTCGATACGTTTTAAACTTATACATTTGTCTTTTTTCCTTCCTTCCCTTCCCACATTCTGCAATCTCACCGCTCTCACTTACATCCGTGCACGCGCGCGCTTTTTTAACGCGTTCGCACGCTCCATAACTAACTTAAATTAATGCGTAAAATTGCAATTTCCTAGCTTGGCCACGCCAGCGTTTCTTGAATACTCTCTCAAGATACTCATCAGGCTGCTCCTCAGGTTACTCAACAATGGTGAACAACCACAATTGGAGCGCGGGGCTGGTTTCGGATCTCCCCCATACCGACTACACTCATCCTGCTTCTGTCCCAATTTGTCGCACCCGAACTTCTCCAAGCACCGAACCGCGCCTCTTTAACTCGTCGCGCGGCGAGCTATCTTGGTGTGAACATTCCATCATTAGTCTTCGAATGGGATCTGAATCTGATCTTTCTGACAGCAATACAACCTCTACTAGTAGTACCAGCGACGCTGACGGCCAGATCGTTCCCGCCGACGGTGTTGTGATGACTATGCAGGGAAAACGCACCGTTGAAGAGTTGGATTCTCAGTTGGCAGCTGTGCAAAAATTGGTCCGACGTGAACGGGCTCGCAAACAGCGAGAAGAGGCCTACAGGAATCGATCTGTGTCGAATTTGCCCCTTTCAATGGTGAGCAATGTACCGACACCACCTCTGCCCCCTCATTACGCTACAGTGTCTCGTCGGAGTGTACAGCGCGTCTTTTTAATGCCTGAGCCCGTCGACCTACGTAGCCGCACTCCCCCTGTGCAGCGTAGCGATCGCGCAACCACGGCATCGCCACCGCCTTTGTCATCCAAATCTCGGCCCGTATCACCCATCAACTCTTCGGTCTCCACCTCCGCCCTATCCATCTTCATGCGTGATGCTGAATCGGACTTTGACAAGGCACTCTGATCCTCTTTTGGGGTCTGTGGTTTGTGTCATCGCTAGAGAAAACAAAAGCACGACTTGAATATTCGCCACAACTTTTCAATTCTATCCTTCTCCTCGTCTTTAGTTTTATCTTAAATAAATAGGTCTTTTCAGAGGGTAGAAAACGACTTTATCGGATTTTCGCGGAACCCATACGGGCATGCTCAATGTGTTTGCTAATGCATGAATTTGTAAACTGTTACATCGCATGTGCTTTTGTGCTTGTGGTATGTGCATCTGTGCCACCTGCGACTGCACTCAGTATTTTTTTGCTCAAATTTGCAGACCCACAATCTCAAGTGAGTGCACGGTGAGCGTGATGGACGAGTCATTTTCACTTTTCGTCTTGCCCTCAACCTGTGTATAGATGCCCACACACAAATCTCACTCAACATTACAAAACTCGTGTTCCATTCCCACTCTCCACTTATCTATTTCCTTAAAACATTGCTCCTGTCGTCGTATGTGCGTTTTTAAAACTTGTGATGACATTATTTGACGTATCTACTTTCGCTCCATAATTTCGAGACGTCTCATGATGACCTAACTTTATTTTGCTTTGTTTCTCCGTACTTTTCTTCTTTTCCCTCCTCCTCCCTATTTATAGTACTTGGTTACTCTCCTGATTCCCGTGTGCCGGTGTTGTTTCTTCTACTTGCAATAGTAAAAAGGATACGGTGTATAGGTTGATCATCTGAACATGTGGGCGGTACTCACGGGCTTTCCAATTTCGGTAACTGGAAGCTGGAATAGGTTTTGCAAGGACTGCATGTGATTGGATTCATAGTAATGTAAATGTGTTTGCTCCAGACTTCAAGTGCCTGACGTGTTTACCAAGTTTTCAAGTCTTTGTTGTTTGCATTGTTGATGAAGCGGCATTTGGCTGATTACGTCCGAGTTTTAGGAATATTTTGCTTGGTTGTGGAAGAGGGAATCACAAGTTCGCTTGGTGGGCCCTGAGGCTTCTCTATAGACGGGTAAAGATCCGATACTTTGGTAGAATACAAATGACAGCAAGAGGGAAGGGAGCTGGGGCTTTCAGCATGGCTCTGGTGGAGACAATAAGACCACTGAAACCGGTGATTAAAACGAACAACTGCATTTCTGTTTTGTAGCCGGCGGCATTTAATGAAACGCCAAAGATGTAGTAAAGCTCTGTGAAGTTACATGACTGACTAGAACAACCAAATTTTGAGCATCAACGAGATGAAATCCATGGAAACTTGAGGAGTTTAAGAATTGTTCTGGGAAAAAACCTCAACAACTCCGTAATCTTTCTTTATTTGACTTCTATAACTAAGTATTCTTACAACAATCCCAGTTTGTTAAATATGGTGATAATGGCATTGCTGGATGGCATTACCGCCTTTATGTCAGAACAAATTTAAGGGCTTACTCGCAATTCACTATTGCTACTCCGCGCAAGTAAATCGGCCACTGTGTTGTATAACGATCGACATCGTGTTGAGAATTGTTCCTGTCATTGAACATTTTCCATCTTAGACCATGTTTCTGTCTCGATTAGCTCGTTAGGCTCTTCTTCTAAACATTCTGTGACACCTTAAAATATTCATCAATGTATTACAATGCCGAGAAATGAAGTCATCGTCTTCATTACTTTACTAGCTATCACAAGCTCAAAATTCATGATCCCAACTGCTCATAATCACTATCAGGCTGAGGTCTCCATGCTGACATTTACTTCCCAATCATACTATTTCGATATTCAGTCTCACCCGCACGTTTCATTTTACAGTAGTTTCTACCAAAAGCTAGCATGAACTCATGGGGTAGCAGCGTTTTCCGAGTATTTGTTTCAGCCGTTTCTCACTAACATGTATCAGACGTATTTCCAGAGCAAAAGGCCATTCAACCAGGATAATCAAACAGGAGACCAGACTACAGACTACTACTACCCGCTACTACTACCACTAGACTGGGAAAGCCGCGGGAAGAAATGTTTTCGGTGATCATAGTTAAGCTAGACGTTTTCATTTAATCAGCAAGGCTACTGATCTCGCAAATCTCTTGAATTATTGCGTGAAAGGATATCTAATCTGATAATGAGAATGAGGAAATCAGATTTTTTGCCAAATTCGGGTATAATATTTGCGTTGCATTGTCTCAGTGCGTTTTATCCACAACTCTCGGGGTTCAAAATCACCGACATCACAACGGTGGCCTTCATTCAGCACTAAAGGTGGAGATGGGTGGAGCTCTGTAAGAAATTGCTTTCTGCAATTCGACTTCAACATTCTTACGCTACCTATAAGAATGCATAAGCCATGTGCTTTCCCAAAGGTTAGAAAGTATCCCAACACCTACTCTGGTTGTTTAAAACATTTAGCGGGCTGTTCAGTTTATTAAACGCATTGATATTGTTATCAGTTATTTGTGTTTTCTGCTCTTTTATGCTCGCCTCCCAACTTTGACATGCATTACGAAGAGGCATTGCTCTTGTCGCCCTTGGGCTCTGAATTGGTAAAACAACTTTTCTGCTCGTCTCCAGCCTGAAAGGATAGGTCCCAAGACGTAGTGACTAGTTAGTTTCGGGGTTATGATCGCACCATCTGGTCTTAGCCCCTTGTGCTCTGCTTCTTCTGAGTTGGTGACCCTCCCATTGTTTTAGCCCAAATTAAGAAATAAACAGATGGTAGGTGACACACTACGGTTTAGATATTTCGTACTTCTATGACTCCGCTATTCATGGTAATTTTAAATTGTAAATCTTACAATCTTTTGACTTTTGCTTTGAGTACTTAAAAAGGTGCAGTAAATGAGACAATACTTTACAGTATGGAATTGAATTGATATCAGTTGTGGGAGGTACGATGGTCTCGTTATTGCAGAAGTGCGCAAATGGGACTCCGATTGCTGAAAGCCAGTGGAATCCTCCTGAAGCAACACCACCTGGTTTGTTTGGGGATACCCTCGCCAATGGTCCACCTCTTCTATTTATTGCATTAGGGCTACTTCACATAGCGGTGTGGCTAAATTAATCCATTGAAATGCATAGTTCTATTTCTCTTCTTGGCCGAAGTTGAAGAAGAAGCAGCCAAGTACATGGGTAAAGTCGTGCATTTCCACCAATTTTTACAGTAGCGCTGGACCCACCGTGAAACATTTATGTTTCGCATACTGCATTCTTAAAAGATAAGTACAATTAAATTAGTATTTTCTTGTGTTTCCTGAAATTATCGTGCTAAGCGGCTTTTATGCATTCGCACCCGTACCGTAAACAAATCGTTTGAATTTTCTAGAACATCGAGTTATCGACGCGACGCTTCGGTGAGGACCAAATATGAGTGCGGATTGGTCGGTTGCGATTTTAACACTTTTTTGATGTGACTACCTGATGTCTAGCGATTACTTTGGTATTAATCTTTCCACTTTACGCGTGGACTGGCCTTCGAGCCAAGTCAAGGTCCAATGCATTCTTCTCCTAGAATACATGCATTCAGCCCAACACAGTACCTACTTCACCTGGTGGGAAGTCTCGGTTGCTGCAATGTTGGTAGAGGGAGGTGAATGTGACTTTTTTAACGACTTCTCTCTCGTAATTTACCGTATGTGGCATCTACTGTGCGGAGAAAACACATACACTTCGGAAGGGAGGTGGTCTAACTTTCCCACGGCAGAAGGGTTGAGAACGATGTCTACCTTTAGCTCCATCTCTCCTCCATGTTCCACAGATAAGCTTTAACAACTGGAACGACACCTCCGTGAACGTTCAGGAGAAGTTTCGTATCAGAATTCGTCCTGTTAAATCCACACAGTGATGTCGAAAGAGAGACTACTCCGGACTTCCATTTATACGAGACTGTTTTTAATCCCGTCTTCTCTGTTGAATATCTGTTTTAGATCAGTATTCCAACATCTGTTGTGATGGCTGCCAAAAACGCCATTCAAAAGAAGAGGGGAAGCGTAATACGCCCTTTATGCGTCTATCCCCATACCTGACCCATCGTAATGCACCTGGTTAACAGATGGAAAGTCATGGAGTGCTACGGCGTTTTGTATTGTTTTTTCCTCTCTTGCCTCGTTTAAGGCAAAAATCTCGGTCATTATTTATGGAATGCTACAAACAAGATGAGATTGAGCTCTTTTGGGCAAGAGGAAGCTCACGTTAATCGTAGCATACAGTACGACGTGCATGTTAGCTGCATTTATTTCTTTCCCAGTTCATATAGCATGCCAGCACATGAACAAGTGGATGATTTGCCTAGTTGCGTGCCGGCAGTGAAAGTCACGGAGCCTAAATACTATTTCGACTATAAAAAATAACCTGCTTGGATTGCTATCGAAAAGGTTGTGGCTGTATCTGCAAAGTGTGGACCCGTTATCACTGTTATGGCCCTGAGTGGCCCCTGAAGTGAAAATTTGCGACTTGTTTGGCCGCCTCATAACTAGTATGAGTGCGTCTTGGGCAGTGATGCAGAAAGAAACCTAGAACCTTTAAGTGATCTGCTGACTGTTTTTAAAACATTAGAGAAACACATCTTTTTGTTACTTTTTACGAGGGTTTAATACCTATCAGGATATTACAGAAATAACATTACATTCACTTATCACAAAAAGCTTGACCAGCCATTGAAAACTTGTAGCTAAATGCCTTGGTCGTTTGTTCAACTCTCCGACATGGCAACAGGCCAGTCAGGGGCTCTCCCGTTGCACCTTCAGCCGGTGATCTGACCTTTGAGGCAGGTCAGTATCTGCATTCCCCGCTATGCATGACAAAGTGTATGCTCTGCCAAGTGTCGCCCTTTGCCGGCGATGCGGCAATGCTATCATTCAATTGTGCCAATGCGCTCACTCGGCAGATACGAAGTGACATGATGAAATAAGGTTATGGAATTTCAGGCACCAAGGTGGTGCCATCTAAACATGTTTCTCCAAATGTCCTCATCGCAGGCTGCGTCTGAAGACGGCAAATTTATACTACATCGAACAGTGTAGTCTTTTACGCATTTGGGGTGGCGAGTGTTGTACAACAGATCAGAGGCAACATTCGCCAATATGGGAGTATTTGGAGTATACGAGCGTCTTGTGGAGGATATGTTAATTCGAGAGGTACACGGATACAAAAACCGCTACCAACGTAGAGTTCCGAAGTCTCCCAGAGGACAAAAGAGAATAGAGAGTAATCGAGCAGAAAGTGTATTGTTGCCATACCGTGGGGTTATGTGGCTACTGTTACAGCTAGATTGGGGCGCTCTGTAAAGTAACAATGATAAATTCCCCGAGGGATCTTTACGAAGAAGTAGGGCACTGCAGTCGCTTAGCTTAAATCCTCTTTCCCTCCTGATGGGTATTTTTGACGCAGATAAAGCTGTAAGGGTGAGAATAGTCACATCTCTTTCCCCATTTGTTTGTATTGCTCTAATGACCAATTTCTGCGACTGTCACCAAACATTAAAGGTTAAAGTTACGATCCTGTTGTAAATGCAAATGCTTTCCTTTCACCTAACAGTAGCATGGAGAAGTGGACTTGTGCGAAGCACTTTCCCTTGCATTGAAATTCTACACTATGCACATTAATGGCAGGCTGAATTTCGATTCACATTGCCAAAACACAGTTCTCTGCGATCTCCTACCTTGAAGAGTAACTCAAAGGGAGAAATTGCAAACAATTACTGCTAACCTTTGCAGTGACAGCTATCACTCCTTGCGCAATCTCGCATGCAATGATTTTTCTTTTAATGAAAGCAGTCAAGGCTGTAATGCTACATGTGAAACAGTAGTCTGAATCCTCAGAGGCAGACTTCCTTTGTTGATTTGAATTCGACTCCAATGATGGAGTGACTACTTCCGTCGGTTTGGGCTGCTAAACGGTGCGCAATTCTCCAGCCATTCAATACTCTTATTTACAAACTAATACACAACCAACAAGTCCGCATAATAAATTCAGGTCACCGCCCCCGTTCAATAACGTTTAATAAACTCCACATTCATGCACCGATTCTCTTACGGAGTATGTAAATGCAAATTTTATTCTTCAAAGGCAATTTCAAGCCGTGGTGGTTTGCAGAAGGCGCTAGCAAATCGCGGTGCTTTTAAGACATCAAGAACAATGCAATGTAGCAAATCTTGCTATTGAAGGCTTGATCATGTACCAAGGACAGGATCTCCTACCAGTAATGGTGGAAAACCCAGAGCATTGATCAAGACCTGAAATAACAACACAGCCGCCGACATGATCTTATGACCTTATCAACGTACTTAACGTTACTCTGCTTCATCAAAGAATACCTGCCAAACTTTCCTACGCTATTAGCATTTGGATGACTGAAAATCAGGTGGTTTGAACCTGATAGAAATTAGGTGCATGGAATAGTTATGCCGGCTCTCAACAATTCGATTTTGGTTTTATTACAACAAAACAAAATGTTGGATCCAACCACTAGCTGCGCCGTATGAGCCGATCATTAGTCACCGGAAATTCTACACACAGCACGGTTCGTCCCGATAAGTTGTGACCGGTACACACTCTTCACGATAGTTCCACTTTACAATCTTTGTTCTTTGATTGTGGACCAAAAAAAAATATCTCCACTTTTGTACATTGCTTGATCCTTAATTAAGAATGAAAATTCAACAATCTTTTGATGGTATTTGCTACCAGATTGAAGAAGCACACTTACTAATGTTGGCAAACATCTGGGCGCATGGTAAAACGTATCTCCCCTCCAGTGGCAACCTAATTTCGACACTGTGCTTTCCATTATGCTACATACCGCAATTTCCCTTTAGACAACCAATATGTTGTCGAAAAAAAGACTGATTATGCCTATCTGTCTGGGTACTGATCAATCCAACGTTTACCTGTGCCATTTGAATGACATGGGGAAAAATTTCCTAGGGTATTTCTGAATACATTGTCCACTTTTTCCTGTACTGTGAAGTAGAAAAAAGACAACAATGTGTACAACCACCTTACTTGACTGATATGAAATGCACTATAGGGTGAGGAACTTATTGGTTAAAATGCCTTTCATCACCAGGATTTGTAACAAAGGGTGGATATATATCAAGCAAATGCAGTTGACGCCCAGAAAATTTCATTTAAAATGTACTACAAAAAGTTAGCAAAGTAAACAAAACAGGCATGAACACACGCCATACATAACTGAAAACAAGCCAAGGCAAAGAAAGGTAGGAAGGAAAAGTGGGTCACATCATCAGGAAACTAAACGATGTCATCACGAGGAGATCTGATTACCGATAGGGCAAAGGTGGCTGTGAATTGTCTTTGTCATCATTCAGGTATATGCCAATGGCCTTAACGTGGAAACCAATCTTTTTGAGCAGTCGGTGATCCACAATTAGACGACCATCGAAAAGCCAAGCCGGTTTGCACATCACATCATAGAGATGCTGGTAGTCTAAATTCTAAATATTCAAGAAGGTCATTTAACCCAAAGTACTACAATAAGCATGAACAATCTATCGTTTAACAAACGTTCAAAGTAAAATATCGTCTTCGTAAATAGACAGTCGCCATAGTTATTTAAGACACAAACCTTCCTGCCTTAGTTATGGCAGTAACAGAGACAAGTGACAATCGCTTGGCAGTGGTCAAATGAGACTAGTGGTCAAAGAAGTAATTTGCTAATAGCTATTCAAATTATTGCGCACGTAGGGCACACAAACACTACAGTTAAAACAGTCATTTATCTCACTCATGAACCGCGTATCGAGTGCAGTTCCACAATCATCCCCTCGATCACCTCATTCCCCAGGTTCTCATCGTTGAGTACCAATTAACCAGCTGGCAAATTGACTTCGAAGAGAAAGAAATCAGGCCTCAGAAACGTGGAGCCATTTGTTGTATTGAAACTACAAACCTTTCAGTGAAGTAAGGCAAGCAAGACGAGCGATTTTAGCCATCATTAGCGGTTGTTACCTTGTAAAGTGGTTTATACGGAATTCCTAATAACCTCACTTGTGCATATAGAAAAGAAACGAGTTCATAAGGACGGCTCCAATAGTTCAAATAAAAACACCAGCCCTACACAAAGCAAAAGATATGCCGAACTGACCTTAAATTCGTCCCACTCCGTGCAAATGACGATCGCATGAGAGTTAACAGCAGCTTCCATTGGATTTCGACATATAGTGACGTTGGCGCGAACTGCAAGAGTAGACGCAGAATAAAGGTAAAAATCCAAGTTCTTGAGTTTATAATGAGTAAACATTAGATACCGAAGGGGGTTAAGGGGGGGAGCAAGGAAAAAATAGCTCTCTAAATTGAAATTTAACATCCAACGTTGAGATTAGTGACACGCAAAAAATAAAATTAAGCTGATTGAAAAAAGCCAAAGCGAGAACACGGAGTGAGCGATGAATCACCCAAATCGGGACTAGAAGCTTCATTGAGATCGGTAATGATCTGTTGGGCAGGAACTTGAGGATCGAAAATCGCCAAGTAAGCACATTCTGAGAGAAGAATGGAACACACTCGGATAGCTGGACTTTCCCTAAAAAAATAAGACGGAGGTTATCCAGAAGGTATTTACAAGAGTGAACCTTTTGAGGAGCTTCATATAGACACACAGACAAACAGTAATCTCGATGGCATACTGTACGAAGCCGCAATGTTTTAGCTTAGATCTTAGTAATTGTGCAAGTGAGCCGAAACGCTACAAGCGTTGGCTACATAACAAGTGACCAAAGGTACCTACCGCTTTTGATACAGGCTTGCTGATTACAAAGGAAATGGTCGCAATGTAAGAAAATGTAAACATTCGGAAAGCCTTATGCTAAATGGCATGGTGTGAATAGACAACGCTTCTGGGTTTCTTCGAATGATGGTTGGGCGTTTCAGCGTAGTGTTAGACATTAAAGCCGGAATGCTAATTGTTGGCACGAAAATAGCACGATTTGGACCTGAGACCAACCGTTCCGAGCTCAATTGGGGGTATTGTAAAATTGACTAGATCGTGAACGCTAATTTCCACAAGGGCACCGTTTTGTTCCTATTCCCTCTCCCCAGTTCCAAGTTAAGAAACTACCACGATTACCATTTCCGCACCATATTTTGCACAGTTTGAGCAGTCAAAAATGCTAAATGTTGTTTCCAACTGCCCATATTAAGCCTCAGTGAGTTGCCTTAATTAGACTGATGACGACAAACTCTTGTTACCAGTGGCATCAGATAAAACTGCCGAACATACAGCTGCACAGAATATGGTCAAGGTGGTGGGCTGAATTCTTTATATCGCTAACATGAATATAACACGTAGAAAAAGAACCAACGACCATGTATTCATGCGAAACCTCGATGGGTTCCAAAAGAGAATATCGTTAGTATAGCAAACCTTAGAAAGCCTTTTAAATCCCATAAAACCAGTTGTGATCCTAAAACTCTCAGAGCACTTGCACGAAATTTCGAAGATAATTATGCAGTACATAACACCTTCTCCCAACGTAAAGTGAAGAGCCTTATATCCCTATCCTAAGTTCTTCGCTCGAAAATAGAATCTGAAGTAACAGCTAAGTGTTAATGTTCGTGCAAAAAGTCGCGAATTGGTTCAAAACAACAGACTTTTGAAAAGTAGAGAACGCATTTCTACGTCCAGATTAAGGGAAGAGTGCGCGCAACCGCTAACCCAACCATATACTAAATAGAGCAAAGGTTTCACAATTACACTAACCGAGTATCCCCAGTGTCCTTTTTGAAAGCGAAGCCGAAGATAGCAACCCTTTTGTCCCGAAGATTGTTAAACATTGAGCGCACAATAGACCGAGAGAATCGTTCCATTTGGTGGTCGTTAAGCCTCAGTACCATATTCCAGTAGGATGCCACCTCTGGTAGATTCAATGACTCACAAATGTATGTCTGAGAAGAAATCATATATGACAGTGAATCTGTTCAAATGCCGTTGACAAAGGGACATAGCGGCTGAATCATGGAAACATGGGTTTCATTCCTATTATGTACACAGCACCTACACGCACTCAGGTGGACTCTGCACGCGCTTGCTCAAATAGCGTGTCCAAATCAAAAGTCACTTCAAGCGTAAGACTCAACAAGAGACACATAAGTCTTAAGTGTACCACAATTCTTTTGATCTGCAAATTAATTCACAATGGGTAATAAATAAGTAAGAAACATGAGGTCAAGATTCCCCCAAATACATGCACTACTAAAGGGGTTAGCATAAAGGAGTGTCATGCTGACGTAAACTCAGTCGAGCATACGACTTACTAGATTAAGAATATCTTTACGAAAGCAGCTGCCACCGAAACCGAGACTGGCTTGAAGGAAAAAGGGACCGATACGAGTATCGCGACTAATGGCCATAGCAACCTCGCGGACATCAGCGCCGGTCGCCTCACAAATCGCCGAAACGGCATTGATGCTGCTGATTCGTTGGGCTAAAAATGCATTGGCTGCCTGAAAGAACCGAAGAAAACGGCGATACAATAACACCTCTAGGACCTTTCCCTTAATTGTGCTACCGTTGAACGCCGTACCATTTATCAAGGTAAACACTATCAGAGAGCCAGCTTTGTTAAAATCAATTATCATCGCCGGTGATGGATGATGAATAATCGGAATTGTATCAAATTTACAAGGCAAACTGGGATCTGGTGCATTTGTTTGGTCATTTACCCAGT